TACTGTGGGAGACCGTATCAAAAGCTTTGCTAAAGTCAAGGAATAACACATCCACTGCTTTCCCCTCATCTTACGTTTCTAGCCCTCATATCTGTGAAGACAACCTTGGAAACATGAACCAGGAATAACTAATGCGTTTTGTCATCCTCTGTCAGCAAGCAGCCACAAAATATTACCCAAGACCTGTGAGCTGCCCACATTTATCTCAATGAGTTGCTAACTATAAAACCTATATATAAACTTTATCACCAACAATGTCACTGCTAATCATTGTAACATGAACATTAGAGGGATGGAAACATCCCACAGCTACAAACTACCCAAGGTGGATTAACAATTTTTTTAAACGATTATTTAAATTGGATTTTTTAAAATTTAAATTAGATAAGGTTTATAAAAAAAGTAAACCTATTTAAAATTAACATAAGTTGTCAATTTCAGATTTAAGGTTTAAACTTATTATAATCTATTAAAATAATTTGAAATAGCTACCAAAAATATTAAGCAATACATGTTTGCTGCCAAAGTTTTCAAGTCAGCCCACTGAACTAGTGAAACTCAGTGCCTAAGCAGCGGGAACCAGAGTTTGCTGAAGTGCTAAAACCAGCTTTGGACAGTAATAACCTCTTCTGCAGGAGCAGTGAGAATATTTTCATTTCACTCAACTAGTTCAGTTCAATGATTAGTTCATTCAAAGGTAAGAATGAAGTTGAGAGACGAAAAAGCAGGACAGCTTGTTTTTCCTCTTCTAATCTCTGAATAAAAACTAGGTGTGAGGATAAAATCTACTAGTTCTAAAATCTCAAAAGGACATGGTGACCAGAAACAAATTAGTTCAATTTACTATCTACCTAAACAATTTAATAGATTTACTGAACATTTAAGTAAAAAAACAGAAATAAAACAATCTTTGTGCTGGATATCTAAGAAAAAAAAAGTTTAAGGTAGTCTTTTTTAGTTATTAAATAAAAGGTAAAATGCTGTTTTGTGCATTTTAACTGAATTTGCATTTCCATCCAAATAGATCTTGTCACAAAATCACAAATAAAAATTCACCACCTAATAAAGAAATGCAATATAAAAAAAGTAAAAATTAATAATTAAACAGAAGTTAAGCTAATTGCTTAAATAAATGTGAATAGATCTAGTGTAGCCTCCTGACTAACAAAAAGAAGCATCAAATGTAAAGGAAAGAGTAGATCTTTTCGCAAATCAACATGTTGTAGTGGTTACCAACCAATAAGAATCAACATTTCATTAGGAAATAACTAAAAAATGTTAATACAAAACATGATTAAAATTGATTATTTCAATCAATTTTCTGCTTGGTGATTTAAATCATTATTAAAATTGGTGATTTAAATTGATTTGCTCTAAATCAATCCATCCTGAAACTCACTCTCTCTTGCCTTAGGAGGAAATTTAATATCAATATCAGCGGCTGTACTGATTATTTTTGTATTTAATTAAAACCCGCATTTTAAAAATGTTAAAATGAAACTGCTCCAGAATTTCCTGTTTACCACACCAGAGGATCACAGAATACAAGTCCAGTTTGCCATGGAGCATAAGTCTTTATCTTACCTGGCGACATAAAGAGCTCTTCCTAAGAATACTATTGGTCTCAGGACCATATGCCAATCCAGCGAAGTTGACGAGAGCTTTGTTGTTGACTTCAATGGGCACAGGATCAGACCCTCAATGCCTCTCTCTTCCAAATTCATTCCCCCAATCCATACACAAGCAAAAGGGGGCAATTTCTGCTTTGATTTCAATACAAATGTGGCTAATGCCTCATATTTAAGAACCCTTTTTTACTAGGGCTGTCAATTAATCGCAGTTGACTCACGTGATTAACTCAAAAAAATTAATCACGATTAATCGTCCTGTTAAACAATGAAATACCAATTGAAATTAAATATTTTTGAATGTTTTCTACATTTTTATTACATACGTTAGCACTGTAAAAATGATAAAGAAATAGTATTTTTCAATTCACGTGATACAAATACTGTAGTGAAATCTCTTTATCGTGAAAGTGCAACTTACAAATGTAGATTTTGTTGTTGTTACATAACCGCACTTAAAAAGAACAAAACATATAAAACTTTAGAGCCTAGAAGTCCACTCAGTCCTACTTCTTGTTCAGCCAATTGCTAAGACAAACAAGTCTGTTGACATTTGCAGGAGATAATGCTTCCGACTTCTTGTTTACAGTGTCACCTGAAAGTGAGAACAGGCGTTGCATGGCACTTCTGTAGCCGGCATCGCAAGATATTTATGTGCCAGATGCACTAAAGGTTCATATGTCCCTTCATGCTTCAACCAGCCTTCAAGAGGATGTGTGTCCATGCCAATGACGGGTTCTGCTCAATAACGATCCAAAACAGTGTGGACTAATGCATTTTCATTTTCATCATCTGAGTCAGATGCCACCAGTAGAAGGTTGATTTTCTTTTTTTGGTGGTTCAGTTATGTAGTTTCTGCATCAGAGTGTTGCTCTTTTAAGACTTCTCAAAGCATGCTCCACACCTCATCCCTCTCAGATTTTGGAAGGTACCTCAGATTCTTAAACCTTGGGTTGAGTGCTGTAGCTATCTTTAGAAATCTCACATTGGTACCTTCTTTGTGTTTTGTGAAATCTGCAGTGAAAGTGTTCTTAAAATGAACAACATGTGCTGGGTCATCATCCGAGACTGCTAGAACATGAAATACATGGCAGAATGCGGGTAAAACAGAGCAGGAGACAGACAATTCTCCACCAATGAATTCAATCACAAATTTAATTAATGCATTATTTTTTTAACGAGCTTCATCAGCATGGTAGCATGTCCTCTGGAATGGTGGTCAAAGCATGAAGGGGCATACAAATGTTTAGCATATCTGGCACGTAAATACCTTGCAATGCCAGCTACAAAAGTGCCATGCAAATGTCTGTTCTCACTTTCAGGGTGACACTGTAAATAAGAAGCAGGCAGCATTATGTCCTGTAAATGTAAACTTGTAAGTGTAAATGTAAATTTAAGTTCAACTTTCATGATAAAGAGATTGCACTACATTATTTGTATTAGGTGAATTGAAAAATACTATTTCTTTTGTTTTTTACTGTGCAAATATTTGTAATAAAAATAATATAAAATGAGCACTGTACAATTTGTAGTCTGTGTTGTAATTGAAATAAATATATTAGAAAATGTAGAAAACACCCAAAAATATTTAAGTAAATGGTATTCTATTATTGTTTAATAGTGCAATTAATTGCACGATTAATTTTTTTAATCACTTGACAGCCCTACTTTTTACCCATTGGCACTGACAGTCAAGTCAATAATTGGTCGGTTGCAGTATAGATTATCCAGTATAGATTATCACTGTCCATTCTAATCTTAAAAATATAATCTGACACCAGACCTACCACTGACTTGAAAGAAAAAGGAATCCCATCTTTAAGGATGAACTAGGTCAGTGGCAAACTCAAAATGATCCTGCAGTGCAGAGGCAGCATACTTCTAGTGGATCACTGCCTGCTGTGGGAAGGGCTCTGCTAAGGAATTCCCAACACTATCACAACACTCACAAATATAAAAACAGAGCGACTGTGGGAAGGAAGTGGTTAGTTATAGAATGCAACTGGGAGATTCTGAATGCATAAACAATCAAACAAGAACTTCTCTTAATCTACTAAGAATAGAAGGCTATCCCTAAAAAGAAAAAAAAATCTCTCCTTTGATTAGGAATACAGACAGTCTTGGATTTGACATCTAAGTTTAATGTCCTGTCTTTTGAATGGGAGGGAAAACTTAACTCCTTTTCAAAAGAGCAGGGCCTTGCATTTGACTAAATTCTTGCTCGGTACATTCTGGCTACCTAAATACCTGCTGAAGTTTTCATTGTGCAAGAAATTTTTCACTTTCTGAACCAACTTGTTGGCTGGTATTGCTGTGAGCTTTTGAACTACCACGTTCCTTCCCAGAGATAGCTGCATTTCAGAGTGATAATGATCCCTAGGTATAGTTTGAATGCTTGGTTGACACACAAATCACATTGTGAAGAGTATCCTTTAGAATGAATATGCTATATAAACTATATAAATGTAAGACATTTGATCTATGTTCTCGATTTCATGATTGTTTAGCAGTTCTTTATACATGTTCCTAAGTCTGGTAGCTACTCTAATAGGAACACTGATGCATTTGAATTTCAGAGAAAAAAGCTTACCCCCTACTTCAGGGTTTTGTTTGCTCCCCTCCTGTGATTTACTGCAAAAACCTCTCTTGATCTTCAGATCCATTCCTTTAGTTGGTCTCAGAATTGAAGAAACATTCCTTTCCAACATCTTAGTAGCTCTGCCTAGAAAACAGAAGAAAGGGGCAGTAATGGGCTGAACACAATCCAAAAGTAACTCAAAAAAATTCAAAGCAATCGGAGTAACCATGCAGATTTTAGAGTACTTAGAAGAGTTGAGTTTTAAATAGAAACTCTTCTAAACTTTAATTACAGTAGACCTGGTTATCCATTACACTGAGATAGACTTTTTAAAAATACATGAACACATATGCAAGCACATGTGTTTATATGAGGAAATTAGAAAAAAATAAAAATAAAAATCTAATGTTTAAAGTGCGACAAAACTCTGGAGTTATAACAGAGACTGACAGAAGAAAAGAAAGTTTGATTTCACCTGAACTTGACCATAACCTTACACAAAACTGCAGCATGGAAGCAATTTCCTAAACACTGACCCTGTGTATCATGATTGCATGCAGTTAATGCTTTCAGATGCCTCACATTCAATCCAGGCAATGCGGCTTAAAGGAAGTGCACCAGGTTTTCACCAGGCTTGTCATACTCCAAAACTAAGTCAGAAACTTGAGGCAGAGTTAGCAATAGCAAAGCAGAAGTTTACAGTATTGAGACAGCTGCCTTATTGTGTAACAGAAGAAAATTCACATCTATAAAAAAAATAGGAATTATTTTAGGGAAGTTCTAAGGCCTGTGCTATACAGGAGGTCAGAGCAGATGATCACAACAGTTCCTTCCAGCCTTAAAATCTATAAACTGTTAGAAAAGTTATAATGAGGAAAATTCAGGCACTAAAAATCCTGTGCAAGGCACCTTTAAAAAAAAGTTAGGCTTGTGCCCCTTTTTACTCCTTATGCTGGATTAGCAAGTAGGGTTTTCCCCCCCGATTTTTTATTTTAAACCTTAGAATTACCTGGAATGTTAAGTGTAAACTTCCCTGGTTTTGCTGTAAGATCTCTGGGAGGACTCGGGAACTTTTACTGTGAACTGTGACTCCTTAAATGAAAGGGTAAGGGTGCTAAATCTTTAAAAAAGGCTTTGTTGACCCAACATGTTAGTCACTAAAGTTAAACAAATGTTAACGAGGGGAGGGGAAAACAACCCCCCTCCAAAATTTTAAGTGTGGCCAAAAAAATAAAAGGCAGCACGACTTTCATTTTCTTGGCTTTTGTGATGTCACCTTTCACTAGTCCTCTAGACATAACTCCTTCCAGCCACGACAGAACCTGAACATATAATGTAAAAAACAAGCAGAAAAACACCTCCAAACTTTAAAAACAAAACAAAAAAAACAAAACCACTTTTTCAAGCCTTCATGAAGCAGCAAAGAAGGACACAAACCCATTCCCTTCTTTGCAAGTCCTTTAAGGCCACTGTGCTGTACTCTACAGTGTTGCCAAGCCTCACAGTATTTGGTGTTTTTCTTAAAACCCTAACACATGGAGTCAAGTGATTACATGGAATCTCAGCTTTCACATTAATAAAAGTAAATTTTTAGCCTTCCTGGTTACAGAGAGCTTGAAACTTATGACCCAAATATACCCTGAAGGTTCAAAAAACTAGAAAGCAAATAAGAACCCAAAATGTATTTTTCATCTCATGATAAGTAAATTTCATTATTTCTGAGGTTTAACTCATAATTACTGAATGCTTTGGTTTGGGAATATTGCTTTTGAACAAAGCAGAAACGAAAGCTGCAGTAACATTAACTCTCTAGCTTTTGATCTTTAAAGTTTTAAATCACAGGGTTAAATCTGTGTACTGTTAGGACACTTTAGCGAGGGTCCTATAGGCAAAAGGTTCCTACACTGGTGAGGAAGAATAGTCTTGTCGTTATGGACTAGGATTTAGATGTGAGAATATGACTGGGTGCAAAACCTATTTCAGTTCAAGCCTGATGCCATGGATTTGCCAGCAACTGAAACTGAACAGCTCACTGAAATTTCCTGTGATCAAACTTATGCCCAACTTTCTCTCCTGAAGTTCTGGTTCACTGCCAAGAATGAATATCCTGCACTCTCAACATGCACCTTGATACGGAGGATGCCATTTGCTAGAACAAATTTGTGTGAAGCTGGATTCAGCGCACTTCTGTCCATCAAGTTTTGGTATCAATCTACCACTGGTGTCACATCGGAGATTAGATGTGCAATTTTTATCACACTGCTGGATTTCAAGACGCTGTGTCGCAACATGCAAGTGCATGTCACATTAGAGCGCACTAAACATACTTAATGTGTAAATTCTTCGGTAACTAAGTTGTTTTGTTGCTGTCTAGGGTCACAAGAAACAAGTAGGGCAGGTTTATGCTAGGAAATTTACTCATGTGTGTGAAAAATCCACGTCTAAGTGACGCAGTTAAACCTACCTAACCCTCGATGTAGACAGCACTAGGTTAACGGGAGAATTCTCCTGTGGACCCAGCTGCCCTCTCTCAGGGAGATGGAATACCTACAGGAGAAACCTTCCTGTTATTAAAGGTAGCGTCTTTCCTGCAGGGGTGCAACTGTGTTGCTGCAGCATTATAATTGTAGGCAACCCCATTTTGCAACTAAGGGCTTATGCAGGCAAGAAGTTAGGGACCCCCTGATCTATGCCACAAATCAAGAGAATAAGTTGTTAGTAGGATGATCTTTCATTGCAGTCATCAAAATAGGAGGATTGGTGAAAAAGGGATAGATTTTTACCTCTGAAGAGTGCAGGTCACATTTTCACTTCCAGTCCCTTTCATTAACCACACTGAGATTTTAAATGTTACACTGAAGCACACACTACAAATTTTTTTATTACTAGCAGGGACATTTTAAAAATTGCTATTAATTCCTGAGTTTCACCACTGCCCATGACTGAGATTTAGGGCAGGTCTAACATCATCTAACACTTTGGAAGCAGCTAGGGACAATGGGTCAGGGAGTCAGAAACTGGAATACAGCATGGGGGTGTGTGCAACATTTGCTAGACTATGCAACTAGGAAACAAATGAAGGAGGAGAGGTGAAACCCCATGGAATGAAGCTAGAAAGAGAAGATGGATGGGATGTTACTTGTCTCCACCACTCTCTGATCCGAAGTACACGTGGCAAAGTTGGCTTTTCGGACCCTAGTTCAAGGGAGCCTCTGTCCTGAATATAACATGGGCCCATGAAGTCTGAATGCATCAAAGTGAGTGACAGGTGCGGCCAGGCAATGAAAACTGGAACTAAAAGAGCAATCTGCTGTCTTGACCCTGCTTTCCCCTCACGCCCAAGTGCCAACACCCGCCTAGGCCCCTGTGCCACACACGCCGCGTCCCTATTGCTGTGCCGCGCCCCACGGGTCACGACTGGAGCTGCCCCTCCCCCGGCCTGAAACCCACCACGTCGCGGTGTCTCTGCCCGAGGCCAGGCTCTAACCCTCCACGGCCCGTAACACTTAACCCCCCCGGCCCCGCTCCGCGCCCACTGCCCGGCACGGGGCCGCGCCGCCGCCGCCGCCCCCGTCCGCACTCACTCACCGGCGGCGGCGGCGGCGGCCCACATGGTGCTGGGCCCGGGCGTGTCCAACCTCCGTCCCTGCGGCGCCGAGTCTCTCGGGCAAGGCCGGGCCGGAGACTCTTCAATGTCACTAACCAGCTGCGACTCAGAGCGACGGGCCGGGGAAAGGGTCACTCCGCGCCGACTCCCTCCGGACGATTTGCGGCTTTGGCCTCACTGAGCGAACATGCGCAGTAGCGTCCCTGGCGCTGCCCGCTGGCCCCCGTGCGGGGTGGAGTCTGTGCTGGGGACGGGGTGAGAGCGCAGGGGAGTCAAGCAGCTGGAGGCAGGGTCAGGATGGGCCCAGGGGCCAAATCAGGTACAGGGGAAGGAGTAGGGTTATCAGCTGTCTAATCACACACCCAAATACCCTTGCCCTGCCCCAGCCCTTTCCCACCTGTTCCCCAAGGCCCTGCCCTGCTCACTCCCTCCCCCACCCTCTGTCACTCGCTCTCCCCCACCCTCACTCACTTTCACCAGGCTGGGGTGTGGAGCAGTGGGTGAGGGGTGCAGGCTCTGGGAGGCCGTTTGGATGCAGGAGGGGGTGATGGGTGTGGGCTGCCGCCGGGAGGCCTTTGTCTCCCGGGCGCTGTTGCAGCTGGGCTGTCAGGCTCCCTGCCTGCCCTGGCCCCGCGCTGCTCCCAGAAGCAGCCGGCATGTCCCTGCGGGTCTGTGGCCCCAGGGTAGGGGGATGATTCCACGCACTGCCTGGGCCTGCAAGCGCCGCCCCTGTAGCTTCCATTGGCCTCAGTTCCCGGACTTTTAGCAGCCTAAAATCTCCCAGTCTGCTTCAGTGGCTTCTGGGAGATAGGGCCTGATTCTGTGAGACTCTTGGTGAAACTGGGAGGGTTAGCAACCCTAGGAAGGAGCTGGGAGAGAGACAGTGGTGGCAGAGGGGATAAAACTTTCCACAGGTGGGGTGAGCCATGGTCATGGGAGCTGAGAGCCATTGAACCAAACTGTAAATCCTGTACATGATGGTGGTGTGACAGGTTCGGTCACAGAGACCCCCTTGGGACTGTTATCTGATGTGCTGACACTGCCTCTGAGCCCGTTTTCCCTGTCAGCTTGGGACTCCAGAACCCTGCCTTGTTGAGCCAGACACGCTAGTCTACTGCAGCACAGACCCAGATTTGGTCCACACCCCCAAAGCTGCAGACTTTAAACAAAAACTGCTCACAAAGTACTCCTGTCTCCTGCACCTAGATACCCAGTTCCCAATGGGATCCAAACCCCAAATGAATCCTTTTTACTCTGTATAAAGCTTATAAACTCATAAATTGTCTGCCCTCTATAAAACTGATAGAGAGATATCATAGAATATCAGGGTTGGAAGGGACCTCAGGAGGTCATCTAGTCCAACCCCCTGCTCAAAGCAGGACCAAATCCCAACTAAATCATCCCAGCCAGGGCTTTGTCAAGCTTGACCTTAAAAACCTCTAAGGAAGGAGATTCCACCACCTCCCTAGGTAACCCATTCCAGTGCTTCACCACCCTCCTAGTGAAAAAGTTTTTCCTAATATCCGCCCTAAACCTCCCCCACTGCAACTTGAGACCATTACTCCTTGTTCTGTCATCAGGTACCGCTGAGAACAGTCTAGATCCATCCTCTTTGGAACCCCTTTCAGGTAGTTGAAAAGCAGCTATCAAATCCCCTCTCATTCTTCTCTTCTGCAGACTAAACAATCCCAGTTCCCTCAGCCTCTCCTCATAAGTCATGTGCTCCAGCCCCCTAATCATTTTTGTTGCCCTCCACTGGACTCTTCCCAATTTTTCCACATCATTCTTGTAGTGTGGGGCCCAAAACTGGACACAGTACTCCAGGTGAGGCCTCACCAATCTCGAATAGAGGGGAACGATCACGTCCCTTGATCTGCTGGCAATGCCCCTACTTATACAACCCAAAATGCCATTAGCCTTCTTGGCAACAAGGGCACACTATTGACTCATATCCAGCTTCTCGTCCACTGTAACGCCTAGGTCCTTTTCTGCAGAACTGCTTCCTAGCCATTCGGTCCCTAGTCTGTAACAGTGAATGGGATTCTTACGTCCTAAGTGCAGGACTCTGCACTTGTCCTTGTTGAACCTCATCAGATTTCTTTTGGCCCAATCCTCTAATTTGTCTAGGTCCCTTTGTATCCTATCCCTACCCTCCAGCGTATCTACCACTCCTCCCAGTTTGGTGTCATCTCCCAACTTGCTGAGAATGCAGTCCACGCCATCCTCGAGATCATTAATGAAGATATTGAACAAAACCAGCCCCAGGACCAACCCTTGGGGCACTCCGCTTGAAACGGGCTGCCAACTGGACATGGAGCTGTTGATCAATACCCATTGAGTCCGACGATCTAGCCAGCTTTCTATCCACCGTATAGTCCATTCATCCAGCCCATACTTCTTTAACTTGCTGGCAAGAATACTGTGGGAGACCGTATCAAAAGCTTTGCTAAAGACAAGGAATAACACATCCACTGCTTTCCCCTCATCCACAGAGCCAGTTATCTCCTCATAGAAGGCAATTAGGTTAGTCAGGCATGACTTTCCATTGGTGAATCCATGCTGACTATTCCTGATCACTTTCCTCTCCTCTAAGTGCTGCAAAATTGATTCCTTGAGGACCTGCTCCATGATTTTTCCAGGGACTGAGGTGAGGCTGACTGGCCTGTAGTTCCCCGGATCCTCCTTCTTCCCTTTTTTAAAGATGGGCACTACATTAGTGTTTTTCCAGTCATCCGGAACCTCCCCCGATCGCCATGAGTTTTCAAAGATAATGGCCAATGGCTCCGCAATCACATCCGCCAACTCCTTTAGCACCCTTGGATGCAGCGCATCCGGCCTCATGGACTTGTGCTCGTCCAGTTTTTCTAAATAGTCCCAAACCACTTCTTTCTCCACAGAGGGCTGGTCACCTTCTCCCCATCCTGTGCTGCCCAGTGCAGCAGTCTGGGAGCTGACCTTTTTTGTGAAGACAGAGGCAAAAAAATCATTGAGTACATTAGCTTTTTCCACATCCTCTGTCACTAGGTTGCCTCCCTCATTCAGTAAGGGGCCCACACTTTCCTTGACTTTCTTCTTGCTGCTAACATACCTGTAGAAACCCTTCTTGTTACTCTTAACATCTCTTGCTAGCTGCAACTCCAAGTGTGATTTGGCCTTCCTGATTTCACTCCTGCATGCCTGAGCAATATTTTTATACTCCTCCCTGGTCATTTGTCCAACCTTCCACTTCTTGTAAGCTTCTTTTTTACGTTTAAGATCAGCAAGGATTTCACTATTAAGCCAAGCTGGTCACCTGCCATATTTACTATTCTTTCTACACAACGGGATGGTTTGTTCCTGCAACCTCAATAAGGATTCTTTATACAGCCAGCTCTCCTGGACTCCTTTCCCCCTCATGTTATTCTCCCAGGGGATCCTGCCCATCTGTTCCCTGAGGGAGTCAAAGTCTGCTTTTTTGAAGTCCAGGGTCGATATTCTGCTGCTCTCCTTTCTTCCTTGTGTCAGGATCCTGAACTCAACCACCTCATGGTCACTGCCTCCCAGGTTCCCATCCACTTTTGCTTCCCCAATTCTTCCCAGTTTGTGAGCAGCAGGTCTAGAAGAGCTCTGCCCCTAGTTGGTTCCTCCAGCACTTGTACCAGGAAAGATATGCACAGCTGTTTGCTCCCCAAGGTATTAATCACTTACACTTAAACAAGAGTGATTTTATTAAGTATAAAAAGTAGGATTTAAGTGGTTTCAAGTAATAACAGACAGAACAAAGTAAGTTACCAAGTAAAATAAAACAAAACACGCAAGTCTAAGCCTAATACATTTAAAAAACTGAATACAGGTAAATCTCATCCTCAGAGATGTTCCAATAAGCCTCTTTCACAGACTGGACTCCTTCCTAGTCTGAGCCAAATCCTTTCCCCGGTACAGTTCTTGTTAGCTCCAGCTCAGGTGGTAACTAGGGGATTTCTCATGACTGGCAGCCCCCTTTGTTCTGTTCTACCCGCTTTTATAGCTTTGGCACAAGATGGGAATCTTTTGTCTCTCTGGGTTCCCACCCCTCCTTCTAAATGGAAAAGCACCAGGTTTAAGATGGATTCCAGTACCAGGTGACATGATCACATGTCCTGTGAGACCCCAGGCCTCCATTCTTTACAAACACAGGAAGGCTTACAAGTAAACAGAGCCATTTACAACCAATTGTCCTAGTTAATGGGAGCCATCAAGATTCCAAGCCACCATTAATGACCCACACTTTGCATAATTACAATAGGACTTCAGAGTAATACTTCATATTTCTAGCTTCAGATACAAAAATGATACATTCATACACATAGGATGAACACAGTCAACAGATTATAAGCTTTGTAATGATACCTTACAAGAGACCTTTTGCATAAAGCATATTCCAGTTACATTATATTTACACTCATAAGCATATTTCCATAAAACATGTGGGAACCACTTCAAGCCAGGGGGTGCGGTAGCATCCCTAGTTCCAGCCCTTTGGCCATGGTTACTGATTACAGAAACAGGGTCAGGTGGCAGAGGGGCTTTGATTTCCCCCCTCTCAGGAGGGTGCATCTCAGCACCTGCTTCCCAGGGCTGGATTTGTAAATGCACCATGTCCTGCTTTGCTTCTCTATCTGAAATGAGGGACTGTGCTGGTAATAGAGATGGAATTTGGTGAGATATTTTACATGCACCTCCTAAAAAATTATATAATTGCCATAAGTGTTTTTTGCATCTGCAGACCATTTCTGTGGATCAGGGGTCGGCAACCTACGGCACGCGTGCCAAACACGGCACGCTGCTGCCCACTGAGAGGAGGAGGAGGAGGAGCGGAGGGGCCGGAATGCACCACGCTGTGGGAAGAAGGGGGTGGGGGAAGCTTGGCCGCTGCCCCACTCAGCCCCCCTGCCCACCGCTGTCCCCTGCGGGGGCAGGAGGCAGAAGTTTGATCCTGCGGCAGCCACGCTCCCCCCATTTCTTCCCACAACGTGGTGCATTCTGGCCCCTCCTCCTCCCAGAGGAGCAGAGCCAAGCCCAGCGTGCCGGCTGCTCCGTAGAGCAGGCAGAGAGAGGTAGGGATGGGGCCTTAGGGAAGGGGGTGGAACAGGGCATATCCCTCCCAGCCCCCTGCCTTGAGCCACTCAGGGCAGGGGGCTGGGAGCACCCCCACAAGCTGAGTACCCTAGCCCTCTGCCCTGACCTCGAGTTGCCCCCCAACACCCAGCCTTCTGCCTTGGATCTCCACACACACCCCAGCCCTCTGCCCTGAACCCCCCCCCACCCAGCCTTCTGCCCTGCACCTCCACGCCCCCAAG